CCCCCCCCCCCCCCCTCCTCCCCCTTCCCTCCCCCTCACCCCCAACAAAGACACAAAGGAGCCTCGCTAACAAGCGGTGTGCCCACACTTCATACTAAACTAGCTATTATCCGACACTAATTTAATAACTTCTTATGAAGGACCAGAACGCATAAACCAACAGTTGGTAAATATGGAGCAATCACTCTAAACGACCAATCAACTACAAATCTGAAATATCTCAACTTACTCAAGAGAGAAGTCACGATAGCACCCGTAGCCGACGACACAATTTGCTGTGTTACAGAAACGGATGGATAGGCTTGATGCTGGTTCACTACTCCGTCATCTAATGATATTACACGATCGTCAGGTGAAATCAAAAGGGATTGCAGAAAGTCATACCCTTATAAGGATGTGCTTTCGCAGAAAAGTCTGCCTCCACTTCCAGATTGCCCATAATGCTAAACTTCCAGTACCAGTCATTATCTTCATAGTAAAATAAGGATATATTATTATGTATTACGATCACACATATACTCACCGTGTTATACCACCGTAACACAGCTTTTTAGTAGCCACTTGTCATTATTCTAGCTTACAGAAACTGGAATATTAACACGTCGGCAAAAGAAAATTAAGAACATTGAGCTAAACATAGCTCCACTCTGTTCCCAGTAACAGTGAAATAAAAATTTGAGGCATCATAACGCATTAAAAACGTTTTGAACATGAATGAAAACAGAAGCAAACTTTTAAAAACATTCACTGAACCCATTCTAACAAAGCTTGGTAACAACTGAGAAAACAAACAACAGTTCGGTACATAGAGATAGATTTCAACCAACAAAAACCGAGGAACGACTTAGGATTTTTTCGATATTGTAATAAGAATAGACACTCTCAACCATTTCAATCATAACGGCGGTATAAAACTAGAATGATTTTGATATTCAGTAGTCAACAACTAAAAAATACAACAATAAGTTTCTCTACAACGGTATATTGAAGGGAAATTTCTGTAAAACATTCTCATGACTGATATCATTCGACTATTGCGCCACATAAACGATGGTTTCTCCGAGCGGATGAATGGATCCGTTACTTTTGATGGACACTGATTTCTTCTCAGAATCAACAACAAAGGTATCTAAAACGCGATAAAGGAAATAAGTTGCCAAAAGACGACGATCTGGAAGTAAACGTGTTACTTACCATTATCCTGAAGTTGTTCATTTATTGACAGCGGATTAGTACAATTAATTAGCCTTCGTTCACCACCAACATCATCCTGGTAACGCCACAACGAAACCATAAACCGTGCTGGAACGAGTTAGGTGGGTTACTAAACATCACGAGATGTCTTTTTAAACACTACAGAATAAATGACATTCCTAGCCAAGAAAAAGAGCGTTTGTCGCAGGCTGCCGCTATTGATTCAGTAGAGATGGACGCATTGCAAGCGTACTTTCACATCAACATACGGTCTCTGCATTTCATACCTGCTACTCAAGCTTTCAGCATTTACTTTACAACTTTCAAATGCAAGAAATAAGTGCCACATCAAAAGATTACCTAACCATGGCGGACTTTTACGACTGGGAACAAGGTTTTTCTCCCTATGAGAACCAGCAGAACTATGCAAAATTGCAGAGCTATGCTCCCGGGCATACTAATCAGATTAAACCTTTCTGAATGCAAACTTACGCTTTATGGATTTGTTAAGCCGTCGAAGCTTGCGGGCAACAACGTAAACCGTGTCGCCATCAACAACCGGAACCTCAACATCGAAGAGAGCGTTGGCCACGTGCACGTTACGAGCAGTCAATGCAACACTCGCCTTAAACTTTGAGAGATAACATAGATATTTTTACCCAGGACAAATTCTACACGTTCGTAGCTCTTCTCATCACGACAACAGACAACAAAAGAGAAAAGAAAAGAAGAACGAATTGAGTTTCTGTAAGTTGCTTACCTTGGGTGGTAAGAAGTGCATCAACGGTGCCCCTGGAACGACAGTCTCGGCGATCACTGATTCCACATCGGGCTCATCAGTATATTTGATGAAGAACCTGTCAAGCTCCAACGAATTTTCAATGTACTCGCGATTTTCAAGCAGTATTGCGGCCTAGACAGTACATGATTCTTAAAGAGCAGCTTCCTCAACAATGAATATGCAGAGGGTCATACCTGGTCAAAAGCGCAAGCAGATGCCAGAGCAACCACTCCCTTTTGCTCGTATTGTTCCTTTACCATTTGTACAAATGGCATGGTCTTCTTTGCGAACTTCTTCAACGACTCCTCTTTGCCCAAGAGTTGCGAGATGGTCTTGTTGTCTGGGAGCACTCCGTTGTTTTCCTAAGAAAACTGCTTCATCCACCGATCCAAACTCAGTAAATATGAACTGTTCAAATGCGCTTCCTTGGAAACAGACAAGAGGGTACCTTAGCTTGTTTTTCAAGTAACTGTAACACTGTTTTCTGCCACGTAGGGAACTCCTTCGCAACGTAGATAACGGCCTCCGATGGTGGAGCTGTGAACGCATTCTTCTTTTTCGAGCTCATTGAATTCTTGATGCGCGCACGGAAATCAGCCATGACATCTCGCATGAATTCAGCTGCCTAAATCACAACACCCATTGTGAATAGGAGGGGAAAAATATCGCGAAAGAAGCAGCAACCTTGCAAAGCGTCTCGTCCACTTCAGCAGTTTCCGGCCACTTAGAGTTCACAATGAGTTCATCCTAGAAAATTCTAGCATTTTGTGATAAACTTTAAATGGAAAATTCTGATTAACCTTTTTCAAAATCTGCCAAATGTGCTCTCCAATATGCGGGCATATGGGTGAAAGTATCAGAGCTTGAGTTTCGATAAAACGGAAAACCAACGCTTCATTCATTGCTGCATCTTGTCCTCCACATAGCTCACGATACATGTCACGTAAAGCCTAGAACAATAAGCATAGAATAAAAAAATGAGAGAAGAAGTTCAGCCAGAGCAAAAAAAAAAAACAGAAGAATCACGAATAAAAGTAGTCTCCTAGTGACTGGAGAAAAAACTCAAATAAATGTAAATAAACTCTTTCAAATTAGGAAAGAAAATCAAGCAAAGAGTTGTAGATGGTAAATTGATTTCATGGCAATAGGAAATGTCAAAAAAAGGAGAAGGTCTAGCAGCGCCAACATACTTGATATTCGAAGAATCCATATTTCAGAGCTTCCTTGAATAGAGTCGCCTCGTACTGTTGTGCACATATTCGTATATTTTTGTTCATTTCATTGGCAAACACCCTATCAGCGAAACTCCTGCAGTCATCTTTACGTAGACCATTCTGTTCCCGTAGCGCAACCTATAAGCTCAACATTTATAACGTTATAGTAAATACATCAAACACGCGCCTACCATTTCCTTCACCCATTCGATCAAATTGTACAGTCGAAGAATGGCAGCGTCAGCCATACTGAACACAAAGTTAGCATCTTCTACGGCATCTCCGGCGTCCTGCAACAAAGTATAGTTCTTTCAAACATGACATAGATCTCTGAAGCTAGTAAAACACTTACGGCAAGTGAGAGGCGCATTCCATCTGCAGAGAATGTCTCTATACCTTCGACAAGTGTCATAAAATTACCAGTGTTCTTCGACATCTGAAGTGAATACAATTACAAGGCTTTCCAAACGAAACTTAATTGAAAGTGNCAAGGCTAAAACGGACCTTCTCATTATTCAGTAAAAGATGGCCATTTGCTCTGATACTTTTTGGCCAAAGTTCTGGTTGATCAGGCCATATCGCAACATGATTATACAACAGGTAAGTGAGATGGTTTTGCACAAGATCTTTTCCAGAGACCCGCATATCAATGGGATACCTTAAATAAAAACAATTGGGTGACTGGCCCCTTAAAAATTTGAGAAGGATTGAAAGAGGAAGTGCAGTTCTGTTAGTGAAGCAATATTGCAAATAGTAACTCGGCTACTAACCAATACATGAACTCTTTACGGAGGGCAGCAAGTTTCTCTTCGGGCACGGGCATTGTCGCAGAATCGTAGACGTATCCTAAGAAGATGTAATCCCATACTGCGTCAGTCATTTGGTCGGGTCTAAATATACAAACCGAACTGTAACTGAACTGAAGGGAAAAATTTCCGGAAATTCAATAGCTTGAGAAAATAATCCAAAAAAACGAAAAACCTTATTCCTGCTGGTCCCACGACGCTACCTTCAAGCGATCCTTGTTGTAGGAGATGAGCAACGGTATAGTAGGCATTATAAATAGTAGAATCAGATAGAGACTCTATTAGATACTGGGGATCCCATGGAAGTTTTGTTCCTAGGGAAAACACAAAATTGTACCGATGTTACTAAATGTTTGATTGTACAGGTGGCGAAAATCAAAGCAAATTGATCACAAATACAGCGAAAAACTCACCGAGGCCATAGCTCCTTGAACAGGCATGTTCGTGTAGCCAATCAATAGTTGCCTCAAAATTGCGGCGAACCTATAACACCAAAATCTACTATCTAACAAGAAAGAGTGCCATACTTAGTGGACAACGGGTCATTTCGAATTGAAATTGACAGAACGCATCATCTTATCGCTCTGAAGCAAACATTCGCTAACTTTTGCAATTAAGCTCAATAAATGGAATCGAACGAGCAGGGAGGCAGGATGGGGAGAAAAAACATGCAAAGAAAACTCTACAACTGGGAAACCAACCAACCTCATCACTGTATGTGTTCAGCTGTGCGAGTGCCTTTCTCGTTTCGGATTTCCATTGTGGATCTCCGTAATTGAGATACCTACAATTGAGGAATATAAACTAGCGATGCTATAACGAAATGATATCACATGAAGGAACTTACCATTGGTCACAAAGAGCCACCACACATTCATCTCCACTTCGACTGATCACTTTCTTCTCAGGTTCCACATATCTGCAATGAAATGTATGCTTAAAATGTTCAAAGCCCAAATTTTTTTTTCACTGGAACTGAATATTCTGAACACAAGATTGAACGAGCGAGCAGTGCTCTTTCTGCGCACCAAAGCATTAAGTTACGTAAGCATAAAAATCCTATGACAATTTTGTTAGCAATGTAATGAAATATCATACTTTTTTGCAAGTCCTTCCGCGATCAGATCTGTTTGGATCAGCTTCTTCACATCTGCCGTCTTTTGGGAAGCATACTTTCCAACTAACATTACCTGGAATAAACGAAGCGAATAAACAAAAATTATTTCACCAAAAAGCTTTGAACATACGCCATCATAGAATCCCTTGAGATACACTTCCTTTTTCGCTTCCTCTAATTTATCTTTCTCATTCTGAGACTCGATCTTCAGACGATGGCACATTTCAACAGCTGCAAGATTACCGAGTCCTTCAATTTCGATGATTGGTACCTACAATGAAAAAGATTTTCTACTAATGTAGCTCAACTCGACATTTCCAACCAAACTCACAGGGTCGAAGGGGAGCACCATCTCATCCGTTATCCCGTACTTCTCACGCAGTGGTTTTTTCTTTTTCAGGTCCGACAAGGCCGCAAAATCATCTGGAGAGTCCGACGGCACCGATGTCACTACTCCGGTGCCTAAAAAATAGATCTTAAGCGAGGATTCTGATCCGAAAACTGGAGAGCCAATCGAAGATATTGGAATAGTGATTCTGGTGGAGCCAAAGAAGAGAAAACAAGAGTACTTGAACGACTCCCATAACCAACAAGCCAATTTACTCGAAAAAAAGAAAAGAAGATTCGTAGCAAAAAACGAACCCTTGTCATCCTTGATTGTCAGCATGGGAAGAGCGTAGATTTTTGAATAGGATGTAAGAGGAGCCGAAAGTGCAGCACCAAGCAGCTTACTTCCCGGGACCTTAACATGAGATGATCTGATATGCCACGAATGTTGAAACTAGCAAACCTTCTCTAGCCCGTCAACGTATCGCACCACACCATTTTCAGCCGTAAGCCCTTGATAAGACATATTTCTTGCTGATCTAAAACAAATCCTACAGAATGTAGACTAAGTCCTTATTCTAGAATGATGAAGCTTTCACGATTACAATGAATTCTTGCTGTAGAGGAGACATAATTGGACAAACATGTTCATCAATACAAAAAAACCAACCGAGCAGTTGCCACAAATACCATGTCTTCGTGTTCGCCAGCATAAAAAACAGAGTACTGGATATCTGGGTGAAGATAACAATTAGTCTGCCCGTACATGGTTTCTGGTCTTAAAGTAGCGGCAACCAAATATACTGGCAGTGTTATATGAGCGATCACAGCTGGTTTAGGTTCCAAGATCTGGAACAGAATATCTGATATTCTTCCCAACAAACAACAATAACAGAGGAACATAGAGTTGCAAGAAACAAAAACAGCCCTTCTGCAACTAAACCAACCTATGAAATAAAAAGTGAAGATTTTAAAAAATGGTCTTTGAAATAAGGTATCCATGTGTCGATGAGTCATTACCTTAAGCTGGACTAGGGTGTACTCTTGTGGACCCACACCTTCACCACTAGAGCGGTCGTGATCCATGCACGGCTGTCCATCCTTCGGAGAATATATGGTGTATCTAAATAGGAATGGTTAAAAACTTGCAAATAAGAACTTAAAACTGCGAACAGTAGAGAAGCAGACAATTGCAAATTCCAAACTTCTCCCAATGTTATGAAGTTAATCAATACCTTTTGCCGAAGTCGATTTTATTCGCAGCACGCAATTTACGAAACTGCCATTGAACGAAGGAATCATAGTATGGATTCACGTCTGTTGTTATGAAAGAACGTCGCCAGTCAACCTTAATGTTTCAATTCCAATAAGCTTTTCCGAACTGGCTCAAAATTTGAATGAAGGTCGAAATTACTTTAAGACCCATTCGCTTCAGGTCCGAAATACAATATGGAGGGAAGTAGTCTAGCCAGTAGTCAGTGTCTGCGAATTTCTTGATCTCTTCGTCAGCCAAACCCAAAGATTGCATTATCTGCCATTGGTACTTGGATGAGCCAGTCTTCGCCACAAGTTTACTCTGAAAATACCTTCAGTAGAATATGCTTGATGCTAAGCTCACAGAAGTCAAAAAGTGAAACAACCGTAGGTAGAAATCTCATTGGGCAGCATCTTTTCAAAGCATATGAAAGTTGGAAACCATGGAAATCAAGGTGAAAAAATAAAACTTCGATTGCAGTACTATAGTTGCCAACATGATTTTATCCTTCACCTGAGTAACCTTGATTTCTCTCGACGTAGTTCCTCGATTGAATGTTCGAACAAACTTTAATAATTCAAATAAAAATCATTACCTTCTTTCCTTTGCTCTTATCCTTGGTAATTTCATCGAGGGAGGATGTTTGTTCTATTGGAGCTTCTTCCTCGTCAAGCGGAAATCTGAATTATTAGGTCAGTTCGGGAAAAAATACCTCGAACGAAGTTATAAAGCCGAACCATCGTTTGTTTATTGATTATTACCAGTTTTTATTTGCAATAAACACTTGTGCGGAACAAGCTGTCCCATTATTCTGTTCTTCTTGAGTGATGGCAACCAATAAAGGAAAATATTGACTTACTGTGGAGGGTATCCAAAGTCTTGCATCTCACGCTTCAGCTTATCAGCACAAGCTTTGATAGGCATTCCTGTGCAATGGAATCCAAAAGGAAATAAGCATCTCTTCCCAATTAATCGCTGATATCCCACAGCAAACTGAAATGGCAGGTTAAAGAGGAGGACTGTCTAGATCATAGTTTGGACCAGCTTTCACCTCGCATTTGGAAACAGTGAATGTATGGCCAAGATGAAGGCGTCCATTCATATACGGATATGGAAAGGTTGTTAAATACTTTGGCGAATCTCTAGAAGAGATCGAACCTATAGTCATGCACAAAAATTAAAATATAAAAGCAACAAACTTGTCGTCGGCATCCTTCTCAAACGCATGATTTTCTTCCCATAGCTTCTGTATCTCCGCTTCTTTCTCAAGGAGTACCGCAACTTTCTTTCGTTCTTTCCCGGCGGCGGCCATTTCTTCGGCCAATTAGTACCCTGTGATTGAAGTATATGATTGATTGATTGAATACAACAACTACATTTGGCCAGTGCACCGGTCAAATTCCAGGAAAGGGAAGAAAAGGTTGCTGTGTGAAAGACAGGTAAGAGTGGCGAAGGTAATCCGCAATCAGTTTACATGAAGGTCGCTTAAAAGGGATTTATTACTGGTAAATATAGTAATAAGAATGCTCCTGGTAACTGAGCTGTCAACTTATTGAAGCTGATCCTCTTCATAGAATGAACGAAACATACGGACGTGTTTTCCGCTATTGCTGAGTACGTTGTGCAGTTGCGTAAAAAGTCACTACAGTAATCCTGCTCCCAAACTTCTGCAACGCGGTGGTTCATTTCAACGCGACGTTACTCAGAGCTTCACACTTGGATTGCCGTTTAGGGTAAGCTTGACATGCCGCTCAGAAGGTGGCGTTAATGATCGAATTATTATGTGCATTATATGGCTCTGTTGGTCAGATGTTTTCGTCGCGATAACTTCAATATCGGCTACTCACATGTAGACGCTCTTATCCCTAGGAATCTGCAGAGTTATATCCTCCAAAACCAATATGCCCTCACAAACTTTGTCGCTGAAGCGGCCTTCATAGTCCGCGATATACTCATGGTTAGAGTAGGAGCGTCTAACACCAAAGTCTACCCCGTCAGGCTTCCCTTTCTGACTTTGGCTGATTAATCGAGTGATTGGTTGGTTTGCACTCGATTAGCCACCATATAAAAGTTTCTCTACTGCTTGCAATGTAAAAAGGGGAAAGCCTTGAGCGCATTTGTGCTTTCAGCAGGTAATCGGGCTTGAACCGTTTTGAAGCATCAATAATCCCCATATTCGACCGAGGACCTACTATCACAAGAAAAACAGCCATTGTGATAACAATAAACAGTGAGATGAGCGAAAGAGCGAAGTCGAGCAGATGAGCTCTGCATTACATTGAGTCGCGCAAACGGCTGTATCGATCGCCGCACGCGTATCCATGCGTCGCGTCTACAAAGGTCGTCGTTCCAATGAATATTGTTGACCAAGCGCGCCATTCCCAATTGTGGGATGTGGGTGGGATCACTATTACCCACAGGAAAATGATTAGAATGTATCAAAGTGTGGTGTTTCAGCTTTTCCAATGAAGTATTTGCAGAGGCGCAAGACCTCAGAACGGGAGTGAGTGGTATGAGGAGGTGGGATGTGCGGTGAAGGGAAGACGGGGGAAGAGGAGAAGGGATTAGACCATTTCCGGGTTCCTGCTTGACCCTCATTTAGCACAGGAAATAATGGGCGACGAGAGTGCGCATTCTAGAACAGTGGTTGAGCAGTTTATTTCACTCGGTTTTAATTCGGTCAATGTGATCCTACAGATTCAAGTAGAGAGGAGAAAAGGAAGCACGTGATGAAGAATTCATCATGAGAAAGTGAAGTAAGTGTACCTCTTAGTCTAGAGGCTTACCTGCGGAGCATTCGCATAGTGGAACAGCCCTCCAACGCCCCAGTGAATCCTCATCGTAGACGAAAAATTCAAGAAATCGTCAGATGTCTCTGTATTTCTATTGGCCCCTTGTTGGAAACCTTTTGACAAACTTCCGTTCAGTACGTACTTCTGAAGAAGACACTACCAATCTGGTGTCGAAGATGAGTGGAAGTCTTATCGTCTCCTTCATTTTGAGGTTCCATTTCGCAATATCAATAGCAGAAATAACCGTTCACTCACAACTCCAGCGTGGCCCACATCGCATGGAATGCTTTCAGGGTAGATTCTCTGTCGTTAACACCAACAAAGAGTACAAATGTCCTCTGAAATCATCATCATAGCAGCTTTACTGACATCAAATCTCGTCAGTAATCTGTATAGTAGTTTGGATCTAGATACAGAGTTTATGACAATTTATAAGCTGATGTGTAATGGAGAGAAATGGAGAATCGAGTGAAGTTCAGCTCAGAATCAACAGTTTGATCTTGCTCTTCACGAGTTTTGGACGAGCCGGAAGAAGCAGACAACCCGGCAGACATTGCGAAACGCACATGCTGGGCTGAAAAACCAAGCAACAAAAGTTACGTCGGAGGTAGGAAAACAACTCACTGATGAAACATCAGTAGTCCAGTTCACATAAACAAAGTTGAGTTCTTAACGAACAAAACAGCCCTGGCTCAGACAGTTCCTGTAAAAGTCGACTCATCGAGGAGTACGACGTTCGGACTTTCCTACTGTCACCCTAGAGCAGCCACAGTTATTGTACACGGCTGTGGGGAACTGGGCGTTTGGAGGAAGTGACCGCGTCCGCCCTTCGGGGGTGCACGGGGCACATTCTAAAGGGCGGAGCTGGGTGGCTGTCAACTTTCTTCCCATCTGTTGATCACCGAGCTACAACAGTTTATGAGGAGCTCAATCGGTAAATGTTGCATTGTTTACAGTTCTGTCGCCAGTTAGCTCTGAAAAGTTTGAAGTCCTACTCTCGAATTTACTATGGCAACAACATCGGGGTGTACAAACTTTGAGATGACCCTGGGTCATTCCCTAGGACCATAGGATCCGAGATAAAAGTCACCTTTTTGTCCTTCTAAAGGTCAGACCGACCAGTTATGAAAGACTTGGTCAGGTTCTGAGAGGTTGGATCCTCTGACCATGCTGGCGATAACGACTCTTCTTTCTTTCAAACTACCCATAATGCTTTTATGGGTGCTGTGGTTTTGACAGCACCGGTGAATAACACCTCCCAGGAGCGCACAAGAACAAATACGCGGTCATTTATTACTTGAGCTGCCAAAGAGGTCAGTGAATAGAAAAAAAGGAACAACAGAAAAATCAAAGACAAAATCAGGTATGATCTTTCTTGTTTTTACAAATCACACGGTTAATACTGCTTTGATAGGAACAGCAGAATGACAAAGAATTAATTGTTATCTGAACATTTCTGATATGTATAAAAGCGAAAATATGTGAACAATCGTAACAATTTCAAGTAAATACAGAGTTAAGACCACTTTTCTAGGCATAATATGTATCGTCGTCGTCATCCTCAGGCTTGAGTATCAAGCCGCCACCCTTTGCATGAAGCATTCGATGAGGTCCCAATCGCCAGTTGCGCTTGGCTCCGAACTGAAGAAGTCACTTCTTTTGCAACGATCAAAAATATCATTGAAATGATTCTTTTTTCGATGGATCACAACAAAACGGCAAGGATGCCTCTCACTGTTTGTTGAAATGAAACTACTCAACCGCTGAATGTAGGGTACTCTGGAGTAAATGGTAGAGAAAATGGTGCTAGTGAGTGGTTCACTGATTAGAAAGAAAATTAAAAATGTCCATCAGAAGCAACGTGCCATGGTGTAGTACACAGTCGATTTGAAGGAAGTAGCATGTATGGGACGTAGAGGTGGTGTACCGTGAGTGGAAAGGTTGAATTAACATTCTTTAAAGGCCACACATATGAATTCCTAGCGATTCCTAGACAGTTGTCTTGTCCACCATGTCCTAGTTGGTAGTTCATGTTCAGTTCGCTGACTGACTAGTTATCTCGCTGTGCAGCAAGTCGTTTGGGCATGAACCCATTGTAGGCTAATTACACCACCTTGCACCTCCAGTCCCAACATACTTAAATGGTGCTCTCTAATGATAACCCTCTTCACCATATGTGCATTTCCTTTTTATGGGCATCGTTTATCGCGAACAATGTCTTTGAGACACCAGGTATTTTCAGCTAAACTCAATTTTGGAAAAGTTAAGTATCTGGGAGTTCCATTTTACCTTAGATAGTGGTTGAAGAGTTCTGTTGCGGCATAGTCACAAAGTCATAGCGCTGCTACACAGGTCGAGCAGGTGGCTTGGGGATTCCCATTGCCTCGGTTCAGTTCAATGTGTTATGCAGGTAGCGGGCTTTAATCTAGCTTGACCAATGCGGGCAACCAAGTGCGTGACGATGTGAAAGAGCAGCAAACTCTCTTCTACAGGCTAAGCCCGTTTTGAAAAGTCTGGCGCAGAGTGAATTATTACGGTTACCTTGTGGTGCTCACATATAGGATGACCACCCTATCGATGCAGAAGCCCTTGTTTTAAATATAATAGTTTCTACAAAGTGGTAATGGAGACTAGCCTCCTAAGGTGCTTGAAGTGTGAAACTTACCTAATGATTTTAGTTTTAGGTAATGTTTACAATTTGGAATAGACCAACCTTTTCGAATTGTGTGACATCATCGTATTTTGTGATACAGAAGAAGTTGATGATGAAGAAGGAAATCAGAAACAATGCGACAGCGAAGATTGCAGCCACCACCACCGGACCAAAGTAGTCAATAGTCTCAAAATCCTGCTTCGCCATTCCTGTAACTATCACCCAATTGTCCCCAGGATCCAATTAGCTGGCTAATACGATTATGAAACGAAAAACAGTGTTCATCAATGAAGGAGCGCCACAAACTATAAACAGTGCAAAGTCTCTATTTTGTAGGTAAGCGAAAAAACTGGGAATGAACCGAGGCTTTGTGCTATAGAAGAACACCGAAATGGATTCGCGGATTTTCGAGATTAGAATGATAAAAAATGAGTCACACTGATTGTCACAGCTATTGCAGTAGTTTCTCATGTAGGTCTTCCTGATGCAGAGCTTCGTTGTCGCTTGGCCTAAGAAGATGGTAATTGCAAATGATGACATTCTCTTGCTATCAATGTAATTTGCAAATACGAAACTGCATAAAAGGAAAATGGGCATTTTTTTCTCTGGAATAGGCCATGCCTACGTCTTCCGCTTAGAATAGTGACGGCGTATGAATGCGTAATTGACCTGCACAACAATTTTCGGCAGACAGTCTTCGGATGATTGCTTATTTCTTCATGATTACTTGATTTCGACCAGTGAATCGCAACAAAAGTACCGAGGCAAGGGATCTGAATGGGCTCCGACTCCACAGCCAGACACGGTACCATTTACCAACCGTTTTTAGTTTCTGATATACTGCTTTGACTTTCCATTCGACCGACCTGTTGGTTTTCTAAAAAGATCTGGACAGAACGTCGGGTAGGAACGCAACATGATCCTACTGCACTGGAGAAACTATCAAATTCGCGAAAAAAGAAAAAAAGATTTTAGGGAGAATAGGAGGCGGCGGGAGCTTGTAATACTGCCTCTTAGGAGGTTTGAATCATATAATTTTGTATAATCAAGCATATGTTCAGCTCAGACAAAGACATATGCGATAAAACAGAATTTACTGCAATGTTCCGGATTACAATGGCGACAAAGCGCTTGAAATTCCGAAGGCTTTCTTCTGTATCTCAAAAAACGACAAACAAATAGAAGAATTGAAAATGATGAAAATGGGCGCTTCACAACTCCAACGAGCCGGAAGGAATTTTGAAAATTTCCAGGGTGAAAAAAGAAATATAAAATTCCTGTTCTGACGCATTTCGTCGATATGTCATTTTTTATTTTATTTTACTTATTATGCACACAAAGGTACGCCATCGGTACCGGAAGGAACTAGCATTATACTAAAATAGAACGAAGCGAGGCCCACAGGAAAACTAAACCAGCCATAAGCATATGTAAGCGGTAATGACAGGAGTTCAGAGGAGGAAGCAGAAAAGAATGGGAAAAAGAATTGAAAAAAAGCATGAATGTATCCCACCATGCCATTAGACTGTGAAGGTCATCAGAATAAGCGCAAGATCGGTTAGGATGGACTGTCAAAGGAGATCAGTCAAGATTTTTTTGCAAATTACCGCCCAAACGTATTCATAATTCTGAAGGTACATGTACCGTTTAAGAGCGGTCGCGGTGTACAGACAAGTGACTTTTACCATATGCGTGGTCCTGGGATCGAATCCCTCACGGTCCTCATATGGAAAAACCTAACCTTCCAGCTTCGAGGTTCGGTGACTCGGTACCAGACTCATATACTGGCCACACATTTCATACCATGGACCTATCATTTTTTCCCAATTCAGGACATGAAGGCACTAAAAATCCAATAATTGGCATTTCGATCATATCTGATCTGAATATACACAGCACGCTCAAGTACCAGTACTAATGTACTGCTACTGAATCCGAAATGCGGAATCAAAAGTCATTATAGACCCTAAAGATAGTTCCACATCTGGCTCTCTAGGGAAGGATGCGTGGTCACAGTGGCCATTCAACATAAGATATACACCGTTGTAGCAGTTTTCAGACGCTGATCTCGAATCACGGGGAAAATAGTGCTTCTGAAGCTTGTTCTCAGAATGCTTGTGCAGGAATTTGTTTCGTTCTGGAATCCAGACCTGAGATTAGCCTCAGAAGTCGCCTACAGTGGATTACATCTCTCCTTGAATGGCCACTGTGATGAAGTAACCTTTCCTCGTAAGGCTGTCTCGTCTGTCTGTCTAGTGTCTTTCAGCCGAATGTGGATGGGATATGGAAACGATCTCATGAATAAACGAATACATATCAATTAAATAAATAAATAGATAAACAAGTGAAAAATTATCAATCAGAGGTGCCTATGGGTAAGTATTCAAGTAGGCGGACAAATATATGCATATAAAAAAAGCTCAGCTGACAAACGTGTACTAGTTAGCCCTCACTACATTCGACATTTGAAATGGATAAGACGGAAAAAAGTGTTGCAATAAGAGGAAACGGCAACTTTTTGACATACTTTTTACCTAAAATTGTGGTACTCCAACTATCACACAATGTTTGCTATATGGTGATCCAGAATATGAAATATTAATGGCAATGACGCAGTGTAAAAGGATATGTCCGCTTCATATGTGTCCAGAAGTGAGGCAGTGGTGCATATTTGAGAAAAAATGAATGAAAGAAAATGCTAAATGAAAGAAATCGCACGGTCCAGGATCGATGCGGGATTCGATCCTGGACCGTGCGTGTTACAGTGCGGCCCTTGCCATTACATCATCCCGTCTCTCTTGGTGGGAAGCAGAAACACCAGTTTTGTATAAAATCCTAAAATTCGCTTACTGCTCTCTTTAAATGCTCATAGATATCCACAGGGGTATGGTGTACCAAGACTATAAAGAATAAACAAACCCCAGATGTTGGGATCCCATTATAATGTTGAGAGGTTAGAGGCGGTGAGTTGATGTTGTTGGTCCACTCCAAGAGGATATAAATGACGAGGATTTGGGTTTATCTTCGAAAAACATCGCAGGAAGGTGTTCTCGGCACCAGACTGTTTGGTATGAGCCCGGGTCACCTAGTTCGACCGGTCACCATCTCTTTCGTTTGACCGATGACAGTCTCAAAGACCAACGAAAGCAACGGCGAACTAATGGTTTCCCCTCCCCCTTCCATATAAAAAATGAAAAGAAAGTAGATTTTTGTCTTTGTTTCACAGACAAAGGCTCACTTTGGAAATTTGGACCTGGAAACTGATTTAACATTTCAAATTACAGATGAAAAACACAAATCAAATCTACCTTCGAATCATTTACTCAGAATTAAAACCGATGATTGTCTCCTTGGACGGATGAGTAATATCAGAGTAATTTTACAGGAGCGCCCTAATTGGCAACGCTTAATGCTTTTCAGAATACGAGAAGACAGAATGACATGTATGTGTCAGCCACAGATATATGAGAACTAGCTCGTTTCTAATAAGAAACAGGATTTGATACATGCCGGAAGGTTGATGGATACATTGTGGTTTGCGGTTTACCCATTCACTTGATGGTTCTACTTCGATTGATGTTCTAATGGTTTTTCAAAGGATATTGAAGGCAGCGGTCCAATTGCGCAGCAACTGCTTGATCTGCCTTCAGTGAAGAGCCATCAGAACCCATCACTTTTCCCTGAGCTTTTCCGGTTTTCAAAACACAAGTTCGATAAGTGGCATGTGGTATAAAGGGAACTGGCGCATCCTACCACAATGGGGTCCCCCGGGGTCGGTTAATTGGTGACAAGCTCGTGTGGGAAAATAAAAACACTGGCTTCTACATTGGCTGGCTACGTAAGTCATTGTATAGGCCACACACGCTTTCAAAAACAACAATACGATTCTGAATGGAGCTCGATTGGCATGAGGAGCATCTTAAAAAGGGACTGATTAACATCAAAGACTTCAAAACTATAAGCCCCGTAAGGCGAACCCATCATGTTTATGTATACATAAAATGGCTTTACGATCATTACCACTTATTTGTGAATATAACGAAAGGTGCATCATTCCATTCTGGATAGAGATCAAGGTGAAGAATCTTCTTCAGAGGACTATATGTAACTGCCCTGAGAAGGTGAGAGTACACTAACTGAAAAAGTTCCGAAAAGCAAGGAATAAAATGCAGGATAGAGGGCAATTCTTTTTCCAGTAATGAACGGAGATCGTGGTCTTATATGACCTAAGAAAACTCCCGGCTCTCAGATTCTCGATAAATTCCTCCATTTCAGAATACGCCGTACATTCGACTCCCATGCGAGATCAGGGTGCCACTTGAGCTTATCCCTCTTCTCATGCGGCGCTGCCTTTTTCCTCTTCATATGATTCGCTCATCAATTACTTCTTATGGGCTTGCTCATCTTCGGCCATATTGCATTCTCTTCATTACTACGGAACCATACTTTTACATGCCACGCCCCCTTGCTCCACCTCTTCCCCAAATTGAATATGACCAGATAAGATAGAGTAAAAGATAATGCCATCCTATCTGCTTCACCTTTACCCAGTTTAAGCTAGTCGAACTCATCTGAGCCCATTCCCTTCAACAGTTGTCCACCAGCCGTCATGTGGTGGAGTGGCATTATAAAAGACGTATCAATGGTGACAAGGACACCATCAAATCAAAGATCACTTTCATAGGGAAGATACTCGTTAGACTGTAAGGAAGGTCGCTCTCACCCACTCCTTGTATGAAGCACGAAAGCTTATGATAAGAGATTGTCAGGAAAGGAGGTTAAGAGTTCAGCGTTCACGGTATCGTCAGAAAGTCGAGTTAATTTCAACCGAAAACTGAAAAACATCCAAAAACAGGAGAGAACGGTCAAAAGAGTAGATAATTTCTTTTCCGTCAGTGCTTTAGACCTCGGCTAGTAGGAGAAGTACTCTTCCTCAGCACTAGGATAAAGGAGAAGGAAAGGCTCTGTAATAACAACGTTGCAAGATATCAGGGCTGAAAAATTGCCGCCAAACCTATGTGGAAGGTAAGCCATAAATATGAACTAAAACTAGGCGCAAATATTTGCTTGCTGCACTTCGCTTTTTCACTGAAATCTTTCGTGCTTCCACTAAATGATGGAAAAAATCATCGAACAAAAATTTTGTAAAGGGTGTTTCAATCGAAGGCAATTTTGTTCAGACAATTAACTTGCTTGTTGTTTATTTG